GTGTGTGTGTGTGTGTGTGTGTGTGTGTGTGTGTAGCTTCTGTGCACCACATATATACAGGTACCCTTGGAAGCCGGAGGGGGTCAGATCCCCTGGAACTGGAGTTACAAGCAGTTTTAGGTCACCTGGGATATGGGTGCTGAGAACTGAACCTGGTGTCAGCACTCTTAACTGCTGAGCCATCTCTCTAGCCCACGATGCAATTCTTTTTGAAAAGATGTCTCAGAGAGTAAGTTATGCTGTCCTCCTCATAGTCCATGAAGGACTTGGGTTTTCTACCAGCAAGTCTCGCCTCCTACTTCTTTCTGAAATAAAAAGGGAGAACGGCAGAGGACAGTGCTTTGTACCATCTTGAACCCCGCATTTTGAGGCCCCAAAGGAAAGCAAGTGGGTAGAACAGTGACTAGGAAAAGCATCCCCAAAGCTCAGATTGTGATTGGATTAATTTCTACGGCATCATTTCACCCAGTCCCAAAGAGTGAATTCTCTTTCCAACTCTGAGGAGCCTGGGTGAAGGCAGGAGTGCAGCTTTGAGTCAGAAGACCAGGATTGCAGCCCAGAGGCTCCCACTAACTAGTTGTCTAATCCTTAACAAGTTGCTTTGTCCTTCCAGGCTCATTTTCCTCATCTGTCAAGTCAGATGAAGGTTATGGAATAGATGATCTCTAAACATCCTTCCAGCTCCACAGTTCTATTCTGGGTCTCTCTGCACCTGCAGACAGACGTGTGGGGGCAGGAAGGGCACTGGGAGGGAGGCAAATGTAGTCAGGGGAATAAAACACTTTCACCTGGAGCAGCCCTGTGTCCTCATGTGTGCTGTGCAGCACAAGCTTGTCTCATATTATCCAAATAATTGAGTGAGTTCCCTTCTTTCTTTTGCCAGTGGACACACAGCTTTGGTCTGGGAGCAGCAGCTGCTTTTTCAGGCTTCCGTCCTCCACTGTGTCCTCTCAGAAACCTGTCATGGGTTTTCTGGATGGATGCCCACAGAATTTTAATCCAGTCAGAGGGAGAGAGAGGGAGAGAGGGAAGGAGGGTGAGAGGGAGAGGGAGAGGGCGGGGGGGGGAGAGGGAGAGAGAGAGAGAGAGAGGGAGAGAGAGAGAGAGAGGTGGGGAGGACACTATGTATAACAAAAAGCAAAATTCGGTGATGGGCTGATTTTTAAATTTTTAATTTGGTTATTTCAAGGACTCAAAGCCTTTATGGCATCGGCATCTGTCAATAGTACCCTTTGTGCTGCCAACCTGGAGTCATGACTAAGGTCCCTGAGTTCTCTTAGTTAACTGGTTTGTCCTTGAAAAAGGCAGTCTATGCATGTCAGGGACCTCTTGAGTCCTGCCCTCCCTGGTCCTGACATCCCCAGGCACTTGGTAAAGCTCTGCTCCATCAGAACTAGATAGTCCCGCTGACTTCCTTTCCGGAGTAATCATTTGTATACCTAGTAAGCAGTGATGGTGGTGATGAGGTTTCTCTGTCCCCAGAACTTAAAGAGCCTCACGACTTAAAAAGGTACAATTTCCAATTCAAACCCTAGAAAGAGTGCTACCCACTCCCTCCCTCAGTGAGCTGGAAATGTGAATTCCTGGACTCTGATCCCAGAGAGACATCAGGCAAGTTTGAGGTCTAGGAAACTGAATTTTTCTCACCCCCAAATCAGTTGGATGCAGAAGGATGGGGAGCTCCTAAGAAACACTCCTGGCTAGAAAGAAACAGCATGACAGTGTTTTCTCTGTTATTTCATATTGTCTGGGCAAGCTAGATGAAAACAGATGCCAAGTATTCAGAATTTTTTGCTGTTAACATTAAGGTCACAGCTGTGTGTCTCTTTGAGCACACCATTCACTGACGATCCGTTGGAGATTCTGGTAAACTCAAAGCAGGGACAGGTTGGGGACGACAACTAGGCCAGAACCCAGAGTAATTAGCCAAGAGGAACTGGAATACCTTCAAGGTCAACAGAGAAGAGTTCAAACCTAACATTTCCTGGCTTGGACATCCTATGGAACTTCTCAGATTCTATTCATTTAGCCCTAAACTGGTAAATTGTTGCCTTCCCCAGGAAGGGACTGAACAGATTAATTGGTGGCCTTCACCTTTAATTCAGGAGCTCAGGAGGCAGAAGCAGGCTGATCTCTGTTGAGCAAGCTCCAGATTAGATGGGGCTACAGGGAGACCCTGTCTCAAAAAACAAAAACAACAAAAATTAAAGGCGTTTCTGCATTCAATATGAGTGCTCAAAAGAAAAAAAAATCGACTGAACAAACGAAGAACAACAAAAAACCCATAAAAACAAAACTCACATTTCTGCATGTAACAAAATATGCCGTTTGTCACTGAAAAGGAGTAAAGGGTACAGGGCCCACTTCCCGGAAATCTGACAGAAGTGATGAGCTGGCCACTTTTATTTTAAAAAGAAAAACTTCCCTCTAGGTCTTTGACCTGCCGGGTTTTCACCCACAACGTGAGTACCCTGCAGGCTAGGGGGCCCACAGAGCCAGGTGCTGCCCGGACCTGGAACCATCTAAGGTGGCCCGGTATAGGCTGTAGCAGGGGCCTCTACGCTGCTTCGAGAGCTTCTAAGCAGGAGACCCTACGCCCTGTAATGGGTCAAAGGGCCGCAGCAATGGCCGGGTGTCAGGGAGGGGTCCTTGGATTGGAATTCTGAACTCGCACCCCAGGAGTCCTCCAGGCAGATCTCTTCAGGGAAACAGTACCCATCTGGAGCATCCTAATCCCATCTTGACCCTCCTTTGGGAACACGGCCATGGGGGCCCAGACCCCAGGTGGAGAGGGGTTGGCTCTCCGGGGAGCGAAGACCCGGCCTAGGAGCGCCAGTCTGGGCTTTGGACCGTTGCGGGAATTAAGCGGAAAGTCGCTCCAGGTCTTCAGAACCCGGCCGCCGAGTGGACCCTTTCCCCTCTCCGCTTCCTTCTGCCCTATCCGGCCACGCGGCGACCCCCGATGTCCTCAGGCTCCTGCCACCGGGAAGGCGTCGGGCCTGGGGGTTGCTCCGGTGGCGATCTAGATCCTTGGGCCCTGGATCTGCAGGGGGGACCTGGGAGCCTCGCCGCCCAGTGGACAGCACTCAACACAATCCCCTCAAGTGTCCACAATAATATGAAGTCAAAGGCCTGAGGTTTGCCTGCCTGGCGACCGAAGCCGGCGGAACCGGACCAAACGCAAGTTCCCCCAGGGGCGGGAGGCGGCGGGCCCGGAGTGCCGAGGACCCGGCTGCTCCCCACCCCCTCCAGCCCTGGACCTCCGGTGGCCCCGAGGGACCGCGGCGGTGTCCGGGAGGTGGCAGACGGGCGCGGGTGCGGGC